GGCAATTTTATAGAGTTTAAAATAATGGAACATAATTTTAAAATATGTTATGGGTCTTAATTGCTACAAAAATTGTTATTGGTAAATGTTTTCAATGGTCATAGATCGAAGGAATAAGTCAATCAAACTATCTCCATTGACCTGGTAGGCAATCAAAAAATGTCTTTCACATAAACGAAAGTAGGTTTTAAAATTGTTAATGATATTTCTTCGGACCTTGCATCTCAAAATGGACTCCATTCATGACACAGTTAAGGCTTACCTGAGAGTGATGTCAGACCGTGTCGATACTGGGATACTCCAACTACAGGAAACATTGGCTGGATAGTTCTGTGGGTAGCCTGGACTTACTACGTACCCAGAGTCGTTGGTTACAGTAGTGTTACAGGCTGTGGGTGGGGGTGTGTGGGAGGGGGGGATTTAGAAACTCATAAATCATAGGATATAAAACATATTTATTGTAATAAAATTTATCAAGAATGATTATTTAGATCAGGCCTGCACAACATACGGCCCGCGGGCCGCATGTGGCCCGCCAGCACCAACTTGACGGCCCGTGAAGTAACGAAATATTCTTTATTTTATTATTATTTTATTAATAGCTTTCCCCCTGTCTTATCATCTTTCGGCCCGGACAAGCTTTTCATAAAGTATTTTGGCCCGCACACGTTTTTCATATAGTATTACGGGCCGCCTTACATTTTAAGTTGTGCAGGCCTGGTTTAGATCATGTACAATGCCCTGCACAAAGTCCTCAAATTTTAAGTAATGACAGACGAACTCTACGTTTTCCACGGAGCAAGCAGACGACAAAAACAATATAATTCTATATTTAGACATTTCATTTTTTTAAATTACTTTTTTTTAACTTTTTTTTTTTTTTAGATCATTCACATGGACAGTCAGTTGTTACAAATCACAATCACTGACTAGTATCCAATAATTACCATTTATGACCAGACACTCTGAGTCATCCACTGGATTTAGTCTGGTCCACGGTGGGCAGATACAGGTCTCAACTCGAGGGTTACTGGAGACAACCTGGCAAGTGTGAGAGCACTGCTTGATCCTGCATTGTGCTGCACATGGGGGGTGGGGGGGGGGAGGGGAGAAATACATTCTTTGTTTAGGATCATTCCTATATAAAAACAAAAGTAGGATAATTTGAATAAATGAGAATGTAGACAGTCTGCACACTCACATACGTTTCAATGGGGAGATGAAATATAGCTATTTTCTTCACTTAACATATGTAATCCAAAGACATTATAAATATATCATGGTTTAAAGATAAAATAGAATAATGAAAGACACTATATTATTTGATTTTTTTTTCTGTTTTTAAAAGAAACGTTTTCAGCTAGGGCTCACTTTCAGCAACATAGGAACCTATGAAGCCCCTAAAGTTGACGGACGAATCTGACGTGAAGACGATGTGCAGGGCGTTGCCGGAGGACACAATCGAGCCGGGGACCTCTTCACAGTATTGACCGATGGGATCAGCATCCCTGTTCAGGCCGTCGTATATCTCGATGTAGTCAAAGTCGCACCCTTCCATCTCAAAGTCCGTGATGCTGTAGATCACAAAAGTTGAACTTTTATTTACAATATTTTAAATATTTTAAATATTCCAGAATCACTTCAGCGTGTTAAGGGAGATTTTCTTAATAATATTTTTTTGTTCCAGTATTTTGCATAAACCAAACATATTTTTCAGTTATAGTTTTTAAGATGCCTTTAAAAAAAATTGTTTCTAATAACACGTGAACAATATTGAAACTCATTTTAGACGAGTAATCGCGTTTGTCTCCCCCTTTGACTATAACTCACTTTAATCTTATAATGGCATTGGCCTCCCCTGACACTATCGTCCAAGTACAATACGATTGGTCAGGATAGTTCTCTGGGTAGTTGGTGCTCATGAGTTTTCCTGATGCCTCCGTCAGTGTTCTGTTACAATCTTTATACAAACAAAAAAAAGAAGACAGGTCTTGTGTTGTAACAGATACAATTTCAAAGCACAGAGAAACTGTGATTAGTATATTTGTTGACATAGTTAAAACAATGGATTAGCTAATCTATCTCTATTTGACTGCAAAATCAAGGCGTTAGTCCATCTGCACATAAAAGATGACTTAATGTCTATTAATAGCCATTTTCAAGTTCCTAGATCCAATTATATGAATTAGTTTACCAACACATCTGTTCTCTGTGTTTTGTGGAAGCCCATTCCGACACACGCATTCGTAGCCATTTCCTTTTTGCATGCACAGCAAGTTGTTTGGGCAAGGATCGCTGAGGCAACTTTGAACCAGAGAGCAGTCATCTGTTGTTATTCCAGCATTACAAACGCACCGGCTCGTCGGCTCGTCACAATATAACGTGTTGTCCGGCAAGCATCTGTTCGAGCAATTCTTCTCTGTCAGGTGGGAAAAAAATTAAAGCTTGAAAAAACCACCTTTTTTTTTAAATACAAACTATTGATGTGACAGTGCAATGATCATTTTATCCTAAGACTTCAGGAGAACTAAACTACTACAGTTCAAAGCAGACAAGTTAAAAATGATATTGCAGTGCTCACCCAGACAGGCTCTGGGATCAAGAATACTGCGGACGAATCCTTCATCACAACTACATTCGAATGACCCTTCTGTGTTGGAACAAACATGCTCACAAACAATCGTATCATTGCACTCATCTATATCTGCAGTTTGGAGTGAATCAAATCTTCATTAGAATTATGTTAAATTTTGGATCTAAATAAAGGAAGACATTGAGATGTGGCATTTAATATTTGTATAATTTACTTCATCAGTAGCGGTAGTATTAATTACATCACCGAATGAAATCATATGTCTCTATCTCTGAGCTCACATGTCTCTATCTCTGAAATCATGTCTCTATCTCTGAACTCACATGTCTCTATCTCTGAATTCACATGTCTATCTCTGAATTCACATGTCTCTATCTCTGAACTCTTATGTCTCTCTCTGACCTCTCAAGTCTCTCTCTAAAATCCAATGTCTCTTTCTCTGAATTACTTAGGTTTACATGTTTTTAATAATTGTAAAGCGCTTAGAGCTTTAAGGTAAGCGCTATATAAAAATACATAAATAAATTATATGAAGCATATTGTGTGTGCACTAACCTATACAGTGCCCATTATAATCCTCAAACCCAGCAGGACATGGTCCACACACATGACCAACAGAACTGTTTCCTTGCTGGGCAGCCGTCAGGTCAGTACAGGTCTGTCCTTTAGAACAGGGCTTGGACTTACAGGCGTTTTTCTCAGTAGCACAAAAATCACCTGGATTTGTGTGTGTGTAACATTTTTTTTAATGAATTGTTTCTGTTTATTAATCTCATCTTAAAACGAATTTTTAGTCTTTATTTTCCAAATGAAAATATTTTCTTTTCTGAACAATATAAACAAATAATAAATAATTTACAACTGTTAAAAAAAATTATACACATAAATTATTAAAATACTAGATATAGCCCACCAAACATTGGCGACAGCAATGCGTGAACTTCCCATCTAGTAAAGTTACTCGACAAAACATGAACTCAAGTCACGCACATTTAAGAATCCCAATATTTGCTACACCCCTTCCCCCATGATACGTCACTGCACATTTTTTTATTTCACGCCCATGAACTACATTAATATTCTCACATTCCAACCATTTTTAAACCGAATATTTTTTACACAATACTTAAATTAGACGATTTCATTTCCGAAAAGAATATATTACGCCCCAAACGCAATTGCGTTATTAAAATATATATATATTTATATATCTTATATTGCGATGTTATCGGGAATGATATTTTGCGCGCTAGTGAACTTATTATTGAACCGCACTCTGGCGTATCTATAAATAGCCTGCGTGGTGTTTGACCCGTCTTGTTTGACCTTTGCTGGGGAATTATATACATCGATATTTTTTAAAAGATTATCTCACAGAAACGCTTTTGTTTTCAAAGTGAAATACTATAAACACTGATAAAGGGGTAAAAGATTTTAGCACTTTGAGAACATCACCTTGGCAGGATTATTTTTAAGATACAAATTTAGGGCCAGGTCCTTTCCCCTATCTATTTTTTTTTTTTTTTTTTTTTTTTTTTTTTTTTTTTTTTTTGAGGAAGATCACATCATCATTAATCAATTTAATTCTCTAGGTATAAAAGAAAGTATGGAGTAATGGTGAGTTCAGTAGCTCGGAAAGCAAAATTCCCGACAACTGCAACTAGATGAGATTCTTAAAAACCATGCAAGTTCTTTCGGTGCGTAATATTTTCATTTGTTTTGCGGAGAAACAAAAATCAATTTAAATATGATGCACTAAATCTGCAGTGGAAAGGAGATTGGGATACTAGAATATTTATATAGTTCAGGGGTGTGGACAACGTGTCCGTTGGTGCACTTAGGTGGGTGGTGTCAGCACTCATTTGGATCAGGGACGTGCTGGCCCACGACGACGCGACGAGCTTCCGTCATGGGCCGTTTTGGATAAATCAAATTTACCTATAGTTATTACAATCTCCGGTGTGGGGGGGATGGGGGGGGGGGCCTCCGGGCCTTTGTTACTACACCGTTGGTCACGGGTTTCCATGTGCCAGCACGTCCCTGATTTGGATTCTTAGAAAGTCGTTACTTGAGCGTGTTATGTCAAGTCACTTTAGTACAGTGGTTCTCAACCTTCCTAATGCCGCGACCCTTTAATACAGTTCCTTATGTTGTGGTGACCCCCAGCCATAAAATATTTTCGGTGCCACTTTATAAATATGTGTTTTCCGATGGTCTTAGTGGACTCCTGTGTAAGGGTCGTTTGATCCCCGACGACCCAAAGGTTGAGAACCGCTTCTTTAGTAGCTGTCAAGTTCACTTATCCCCCGTCGCCATTGTTTGGTCGGGCTATAAATAGTTGACTACTCTTGCTCTATGCAACAGCCCTTCAAAAATATTTGTTCCGATAATTCTTAGATCTTATTTTACCTATGTAGGCAGGGTGACAGGCACACTTGAGAACTTGCACCAACCCATCATGGTACTGTATTTTCCTTGTGTTATTTACGTCACAAGAGCCATGGTTATCACAGTGTGGACAAATTATTATCGAGAGGTATAGGAAAGGAGAGTAGCCGTTTTTCGTGTCTTTTACCCGCACACTAAACAGAAATATACATTTTAAACATATTATTCAGATTTGTTTCGTTATGAATTCTAGTTAACAAAATTATATGTACCAGTTTTAAACACACAAAAATTGCTATTTTTTTCAGATTTGATATATGAGAGAGATATTTTTTCCATAACATTTTAAAAATTTTGATTTTTTAAAACCCTCCAAATGAAGCTATTGGAAACTCACAGAGTATAACTGTATATGTTATTTAGTTTTATGGTCCATCTATATAAATATTTTATTTTATTTTCCTGAATTTTCCTGATTCCAATAATACTTAACTAAACCAGTAATGGCCTAGGGCACGTTGTAATAGTGTAAAACAATTTGACAAGCTGGATACTTGTAAAAAAGTGCATGACATGCCAGAGAGGGTTTAAAAGTTCAATGTACGTCAGTCTTAAAGTTCCCAGGTTGATATTTCAGTTCATCGCTTGGCTACCTTAGGGCTTGTACACATTTTAAAACCCATAATTTTTAAAAAAAAGTTTGAAGAAAGTCTAGGATGATTCCCATGAGTTGGGCCAGGAATAGCTTACTGGCAATGCTGTGCACTGTCCTTGAATATCGGCAATGATAACCACCCTGCCAACCGTCTTGCACTCATTGCAGAACCTTTAAGCAGAATGTAGTTTCCTTATGGACTCTCAAAGTGTGTAATTTTGTTCAGTACTTCTTGGACATATTTTTTATGGGTTCAGGTTTTGTGACTCTTTAAATGTTCATTGTTCATTACTGTTGAGCCCGTCATGATGTGTCACAATTTGAGCTAACTTTGTATTCTGCAATCGTCTGAAAAATGTATAGGCCTACTTACTGAAGGAGCTAGTGTTTTCATCATATGCTCAACACGGCTGGCTCAGTTTGACAGTGTGTTACCAAACTAGATTTTGGGGACGCAAGTCATATTAACTCATCTGTCCACTGCCTGGCTTGGACTTTTAAATTCTCTTTGTAGTTTTACAAATGCGTAAAGGTTCCTCAGACAAATATCTAGTCAAATTTGGGAAAGATGACGACGATGCGACTCACGCTATCTTGACAGGCTCCAGGCTGTTGGGTGTGTATGTAAGGATGCCGCTCTGGTCGATGGACACGCCTCTGGGATTTCTATCTAGTAAAAATAAAAGCAAATCGTCATCTTGGTCAGCGGCTGCAAGACTCAAAGTATTGGCCACACCCTCGACTACAAACCATCGGCCGTTGATGAATGTAGCACTGTCCTCAACAACTGTTACATTTGGAAGGGTATTTTCTGTGAATAGAGACGGTTGAGAAAATTGAGTTGATCTTTTCCCATATTTTTTTTTACATTTCATTATTTGCATGCGTTATTCATTTATAATCAATAACCTGTGAGTTAAGACAGGCGCCTTGAGCTTTTGATTTTCCCAAGTGTACAGAAAAGAAAATTTGCATACTTTCATAAATTTACTTATTATGATGTTGTTGTCTTTTTTTTTTTTTAAATGTTACTTGTTTTGTTCTTAAAGTCAGCGATGGTTAATAAATGCATTCATATTTTTTTTTTTAGTTACTGGTTTAGAAACGTACCTGGAGTCTGTCTTGAAGAAATCGAAAGTGCATGTTTTGTTTTGATTTTGTTTTTTTTTTTTTGTTTTTAAATGTTTCTTGTTTTGTTCTTAAAGTCATCGATGGTTAATAAATGCATTCATATTTTTTTTTTTAGATACTGGTTTAGAAACGTACCTAGAGTCTGTCTTGAAGAAATCGAAAGTGCCTGTGTTGTTTTGGTGTTCTCAGCAAAACGTGCGTCTTCCGTCACCAAGTAATCATAGACGCACATCTCATGACCACCCGCGCAAAAGTCCGTGGCCGTTTTCAAGAGGTCTGCACTGGGATTTAGGGAGCTTCTGAACACGGGTGTGAAATCTGCCTGGGTGTAGTTGTCTGCACTCATGCCGCTGGCGTACGTGAACACTGACGTAGCCGGTGTTACTTGGTCTGAGAAGGTACCAGAAGAAATTTTAAAAAAGTACATCAAACTTCAGTATTGAATTAGAAGTCTTTCGGGAGTAGGCAGTGGGTTTAATGTTGTTGTTATTTAAATGATTAAAAAAACGATACCAGGCTATATTTTTGGTTCCAATCAAGCTGACAATACAGATTTTAAAAGTGTAAAAGTGTTGGCCCATTTAAGATATTGTAAATATTTTTTACGACATATATTTTTATAGGCACTACTTGAAATTATTTACATACATCAGTGATGATTTCTTCTTTTTTTTTTTTTTACCGATACATCACAACCCAGCAGCATTTCAATGGGGAGAAATGGGGGAAAAATCATCTCAAAGGTGTTAATTTAAAATCATGTTATCACAGGAAGTCTTCTCACAGATGCAAACACAGAAGTGTTCATTCATTTCATTAGAACTTAAAATATATATTTTTTTAAATTTCTGGATACAAAAAAGTGGTGGTTTTTTTTTCTTCAAATCTACATGGGATTTACTTCTAAATTCCCATGATCAAATAGCTTATTGCAAAGTCTAGTGCTGAAATCAATGTAAACTTGCAGTTTGATGCAAACTCTCTGTAAATTTGTTCCTCTGTCATATTGGCAGGCAGCACGTCTCCATTCGGCAGTGTGAACTCATCGTCCTTATTTCCGTTGAAGTTTCCGAGTAGACCTCTTGTTTTTTCTCTCAGGTCTTTATCAACTTCCAGGTTCAACTCTAAGCAATCAACTCCAACATTCACTTCAACGATCACATCTGAAAATATATAAATATTTTTTGAACAAAAAAAAAACAACCCTGCGCTTGTAAAACATTTAATGTGTATCAAAATGTTCACTATGGTAATGGGGGTCAAAGTTGAACACATTTTTAAATGAAAAAAATGACTCCCAGAATGATCAATCCATTTGATCGTGGGCCTTCAAAATATAGAAGAAGGGGGGGAAGGGGAGAAGAATCGTTAACATGATGCATCTATGATATAGTGAAGGCTGTGTTTCTTGGACAGTCGGTGCATTTTTATAAATAGCATAATTTTAAATTAACAGCCTCAAACGCAAAGACAATGCTGGTAACCACACAAAAAAACAAAACACAACAAAAAACAAAAGAAACAAAACAAAAACAACAAAAGCACAACAACAAACAAAAGAAACAAAACAAAAACAACAAAAGCACAACAACAAACAAAAGAAACAAAACAAAAACAACAAAAGCACAACAACAAACAAAAGAAACAAAACAAAAACAACAAGAAAGCACAACAACAAACAAAAGAAACAAAACAAAAACAACAAGAAAGCACAACAACAAACAAAAGAAACAAAACAAAAACAACAAAAGCACAACAACAAACAAAAGAAACAAAACAAAAACAACAAGAAAGCAACACACAAACCAACAAAAAACTAGTTAAATTCACAAGTATTATTTCAAAATTAAAACAAAAACAAAAACAGCGTCTTACTGCAAGGAAACAGTACTGCGATTTTGGTTTTATTGAAGCGGTTGTCACGGGATACGTCGATGTTTGGCTTTGTCAGTCGGAAAGTTACCTTACTGTAGAAGTCTTCAGTGTAGCTGGCACCATCCACCAGAATGACCATTGCTGTCAGGCAAATAAAGTCGGCGAGTTCATTTTGTTTTCAAGTCTGATTCACACAATGTATTATTTTCTAGATTCAAACCTTTCACTTGACCAACACAAAACTCGTCAGTATTACCCTAAGACTGGAACTAAGGGGGGAAATGTTATAAGTAAAGAAACATTTATTTTTTGTTTAAAGAATGCAATAGGTAAAGAAAATGTATTAGTAAAGAAAAATTTAATAATGAATGACAGATGTCAAAAAGTAAAGAAAACTTGGTAAAGGGAAATGTGTCTCTGACCATTATCAAGATAACATGAAAATAACTTGGTTAATTCAATAAAATTATTTTTTTTTTAAAAATCTTAGAAATTAAAGCAAATATTTAATTAATTCGAATACAATTGAAGTGACATCCCTGATTTCATCATAATTAAAGAACTGCTTAGAAATGATAGAAACAATTTTCTTTGTTTAAAAAAAAAAACATTTTTCTATAAAGAGAATCCAAGCTGCGCACATTTTTTATCAACAGATAGTTCAACTTGAAATCTGGCATCGTTCTTTTCCTTGGCGGCAAACGCTATGAAAACGGTGGCATTGGTCAAGACGCCTGCACTTGAATAGACACGACCCGTGCGTCCCTGTGTAGAGGACATGTTAGAATGTGTTTCATCATAATTCCTGGTGTTAACTTCACATATATATATATATATATATATATATATATATATATATATATATATATATANAAAAAGCAGTATACAATTATATACCCAATAATTTTATTTTAAAATGTTTCTATAATTATATTCGATTTTTAATAAGATTAATGTATAAATAATATTAATTAATAAAAATATATTTTAGAGGAGGGTTTCCCAACCTTAGTGCCCGCAACCCAGTGGTTGGGGGGGGGGGGGTAAGATGGCACTTCAAGGGGTAAGAGGATTAATAGCTTTTACGTTAAGATAAATCTATATTATATATAATTCGCAAGCAAATATCAAACACCAGCACCACGCAGGCTATATATAGATACGCCAGAGCAAATATAATTCCCGATAACTACGCTAAATGATGTTTTATTATGTTTTTAAATAACACAACTGCATTTGGTGCGTAATATTTTCTTTTCGGGAAAATGAAATCGGCTCTCAATTTAAGTATGGTGTAAAAAATATTCGGTTTAAAAGTGGTTGGGACATCAGAATATTTAAAAATAGTTCATGGAGGTGAAATAAAAGGGGGGGGGGGGGGGGGGGGGGGGGGGGGGGGAAGGGGTGTAACAAAAATTGGGATTCTTAAATGTGCGTTACTTGAGTTCAAGTTTTGTCAAGTAAGATGAGATGGGAAGTTCACGCACTGCTGTCACCAATGTTTGCCGGGCTATATCTAGTGTTGATATATTTTACAACTTTTGCTCATTTACAATTTTCTTTGATTAAGCAGTCACCCATTTTTTAGGGTAGCATTTACAGTTTTCTTTACAATCAGTAAATAATTTAGAAGTCCATTACTTTAAATTTTGAAATGAATTGTTAATTGTTTTGATAATTGTGTGTGTGTCCCCTAGAGACTTAGTAAAACAGTGCGTACAAGTAGCGTAGCACAGAAAAGTGAGTGAAACTCTGGTTTAGAGAGTAAGAGTTAGGTTAAAAAACTGGATGTGCAGTTAAGGAAAAGGAACTGCCTTGGCTCAAACAATAGATATCACGCTACCTGTAGTGTGAAGCCGACCGATCGTACGTCCATCAGTGTGTATTCTGCCAGCCCATTCATAGTGTAGGATGCATTGTCAAAAGTAATGATGTGTGGGTCGCCAAGAATAACAGCTGAGAAATCAATTTATGATTATTATTATTTGTGCTGGTTTTTTAAAATAAAAAAAGTCAAGACTAATTTCTAAAATGTTATATTTTGTGACAATTTACCTTAATTGCGTTTGAACAAGTTTTTTAAAACAGTAAATTGTAAATCCTTTTGTAACTTTGTTGTTCTTTTTTAAAGTGTAATAATTTTTTTTTAAAATTTACAAACAAATTGAAAATGAAGATAATTTTTGCAGAGGTGAACCTGCTCCATTTTGTTTGAATTTACTAAAGTGCGACCAAGCAGGCAATCTAAAAGTTGTATACTCTGTAAATCAGAATGTCTATGGAATCCGGGGGGGACTGGAGGTGTAAGTTTAGCTGGCACAAATGTGACATCATGAGAGCAAGGAAAATTTGGATAGATCAATCCGAATCGGTCGCACATCTTCGAGTCTTGGGCATCCTTGCAGCACCACTGATGGGCGTTAAGGTTCTCTTGCACACCTTTGAACCAAGTGGCATCACCAAGCAGTGTGTGGCCGGCGTCGGCTGTTTTGTGTATGAACGACGACTCGGCCATGGATTCAGCCCAGGATTTCCAAGAACTGCCGGCTGGTGGCTGCTTCCAGTTGTAACAGCAAAGCTTAAAAGAAATATGGTGACAAAAATAAGGATTAGATAGCAAGTACATCATCAATTATTGGATTTACGGTAAATGACAAGATTTTCCCCCAAATTCTTGTGTTTTAGTTGCGCGTAACTAAATTGTTTTATTTACAAGACAATCAGTGTAGGACTAAAATTTATTTAGAGCAAATTGTTTGAGCAAATTGTTATTTCTTCCGGGTATACCACATCTCCGTGTTCTAAAATATAGTTTGATGTTGGAACAGTTTTTATATAAAAACCGATATACCGACGCTACATCATTAATAAGTAAAAATGAAAGACCCTCAACCATTGCAGGCCAGGTATTGCCAAAAAACTCACAAGAAACTCTCAAGGACAAGATGGCGTGGTGGACGAAAGAGAATATGGAGAAGGGTTCTAGCTAATACAGTCACGTGGTCCCTTTGATGGAGGGGGCGTCGAATATTTTAGGGGCCCCAAAGTTGTGATGCAAACATTATAATTCATTAAACTACCGAATTCGATGCAGGAGGCTCAGTCACGTGACGGCCCTGCACTGCGTAGATCAGCGTTTCCCAAACTTTTTCAGTTTGGACGGACCCTCTTTTAACTTGACAAAAGGTTCACTTGCAAATTAAGTCTCGCAGTCCGACAATATAAGCCTTGCGTGGACCGGTGCCGGCCCGCCGACCACCATTTCAGTAACACTGATCTAGTGTATTCTGAAGTGATGGGCGTGAACGGGTGAGGCCTTTACACCCCCCCCCCCCGGCCAAAGAAAGGGATGTTGGGGCGTCATGGATCGGAGTCATGGATCGGGACGTCATGGGTGGGGGCGTCAGGGATTTGGGTTTCGGGGGTTTGGGCGCCGTGGGGTGGGGCGTCATGGTTGGGG